GTGTATTTCAAGTTTCTTTGCCTTCTCTCAGTAAAAGCCTTGTCCCTTCTTGGAGGAATTTCAAGGATTAGGGTTCAGGTGGATTGAACTTTTGGTTTGTATTAGGCCTTTCTCCTAATGCCTGAAATTGGGCATTTATACTTGCTTTTCTTTTCTTTTCTTTTTTTTTTAATTTAAGACAGATAACAGGAAACAATATACTTGCTTTTCTTACTCAGAAATTAATCATGAGACTCAGGCAGTATACCTCTTTTTGCGTAAGTCTCAGATCAAATTGTAACTAGAGGTTCTTCCTCACCTGAGTTGGTTATTCAGTGTCTGCGGCCAGAAAGGGAGCCAGGTGTGCGTCCTCGCTGAGCACCGTCCCTGCTGCTTTTCCCTGCCATCTCATGTGGGTCCACATCACACCTGGCTGGGGCTAGCCTGGACCTGATGGGTTGGCACAATTTACTGTTAGCAAGGAGGAGCCACCTCTCTCCTGTCAGCCACAGATTCCCAGCTGTCACCTTTTTGCTTCAAATCTCCCAAGCAGTAACCTTGATACCAAGATACCACACAGCTCATCAACTTGGATCTGAACTGGTAGACAGCTCATGCTTAAGACTAGGGAGGCCGGGCGCGGTAGCTCACGCCTGTATTTCCCAGCACGTTGGGAGGCTGAGGCAGGTGGATCATCTGAGGTCAGGAGTTTGAGACCAGCCTGGCCAACATGGAAAAAACCCATCTCTACTAAAAATACAAAAAAAATTAGCTGGGCATTGTGGCGGTCACCTGTAATCCCAGCTACTCAGGAGGCTGAGGCAAGAGAATCGCTTGAACCCAGTAGGCGGAGGTTGCAGTGAGCCAATGTTGCGCCATTGCATTCCAGCCTGGGTGACAGAGTGGGACTCCATCTCCAGAAAAGAACAGAAGAGAGAGGAGGGTGAGGAGAGGGGAGGGGACGGGATGGGAGGAGAGGAGAGGGGAGGGGAGGACAAGACAAGACACTTAGTAATAAGGCTGAGTTTGGATTTGAATCCCAGTTCTCCAGTTCTGCTACTTACCTGCTTTGTGGCCTTGGACAAGTTACTTAACCTCTCTATGCCTCAGTTTCTCATTGGCAAAATTGTACTAATAATACCTCCTGGAGGGGTTATTATCAGAATGAATTGTGCTAATTTATGTAAACCACTTAGTTCAGTGCCCAGAACATAGTTAATACTTGCTGTTTATTATATTGTCATTTGGCTACAGAAGTGGCCAGCCCTAGACTGCGGGGCTGAGCGGCTCCCTCTGGCAGCTGGTGGAAGTCCTAGGTCATGCTGCTGTCAGTTGCAGGTTACTAACAATGACCCCACTTTGCTCCTCCTCTTCCCAGGTGAACATCATCCCTATCATTGCCAAAGCAGATGCCATTTCGAAGAGTGAGCTAACAAAGTTCAAAATCAAAATCACCAGCGAGCTTGTCAGCAATGGAGTCCAGATCTATCAGTTTCCTACAGATGATGAGTCGGTGGCAGAGATCAACGGAACCATGAACGTGAGTGGGAGCACAGGGGTTCAACTCCGTGGCCATTTGTTCTTTATCATGATTATCATTATTTTGTTTCAGAGACAGAATCTTGCTCTGTTGCTGGGGCTAGAGTGCAGTGGTGTGATCACAGCTCATTGCAGCCTCAAACTCCTGGGCTCAAGGGATCCTCCCACCTCAGCCTCCCGAATAGCTGGGGTTACAGGTGCATTCACGATTCCTGGCTGGCTAATGTTTCAATGTTTCATAGAGACTGGGTCTTGCTATGTTGCTCAGGCTGGTCTTGAAGCCCGGAGCTCAAGCGATCCTCCTATGTCAGCCTCCCAAAGTACTGGGATTACAAGTGTGAGCCACCATGCTGACCCCTTCATTATTATTACTTTACCAAATAGCAGCAAAACATCTTCACCATCCATCTTAGTGTAGTAAACTCTTTTTTTTCCTTTTCCTTTTTTTTTGAGATAGGATCTCATTCCATTGCCCAGGCTGGAGTGCAGTGGTCCAATCTCAGCTCACTGCAACCTCTGCCTCTTGGGTTCAAATGCCAACTATAATCCCAGCTACTCAGGGGGCTGAGGCATGAGAATTAGTCACCACGCCCAGCTATTTTTTTTTCTTTCTGTTTTTAGCAGAGACAGGGTTTCACTGTGTTGGCCAGGCTGGTCTTGAACTCCTAGGCTCAAGCGATCTGCCCCCCTCCCAAAATGCTGGGATTACAGGAGTGAGCAAATGTGCCCAGCCAAGTCAACTCTTGATTATCTAAGTCTCAGGTATTTGTGAGACAGAATCCAGAACCAAAACAGCTCCTTTCTCCTAGTAGTGGCTGCTGCAAATCCTCCAAGATGCTGAGATTAATAGCCAGAAACTGAGGGAAAGGGAAGGCCAACTCCGGGAAGAATGTGTGGCAGGGCATTCAGACCTCTCCTTCCACCCACCTCCTTGATGCTGCTCTGGTCTGGGACAGGCAGACCCCATGGGACTGTAGGAAAGGCGGACAGTCTTTGTCTCAGACCAAAGCAACACCAGAACAATTGATGCTGTGAAAGAAGCAAAGGCTGAAAAAGTTGGCTGGCTTTGGGGTCTCAGGAATATTCAGTGCTGAGATTATCAAGCCCTCTGGCCCTGGGAGGACAAATGATCTAAGCCCACAACGTTGCTGGTGACTAGAGAGATTTTATTTACTTGTTTATTTATTTATTTATTTTGAGATGGAGTCTTGCTCTGTCTGTCACCAGGCTGGAGTGCAGTGGTGAGATCTCGGCTCACTGCAACCTCCGCCTCCCACGTTCAAGCGATTCTCTTGCCTCAGCCTCCCAAGTAGCTGGGACTACAGGTGCGTGCCACCACGCCCAGCTAAATTTTATATTTTTAGTAGAGATAAGGTTTCACCATGTTGGCGAGGATGATCTTGATTTCTTGACCTCGTGATCTGCCCACCTCGGCCTCCCATAGTGCTGGGATTACATGTGTGAGCCACGGTGCCTGGCCTATTTATTTATTTATTTATTTATTTATTTATTTATTTATTTGTGAGACGGAGTCTCACTCCGTTGCCCAGGCTGGAGTGCAGTGGTGCAATCCTGGCTCACTGCAACCTCTGCCTCCCAGGTTCAAGTGATTCTCCTGCCTCAGCCTGTCAACTAGCTGGGATTATAGGTGGCTGGCTAATTTTGTGTTTTTAGTAGAGACGGGGTTTCACCACATTAGCCAGGCTGGTCTCAAACTCCTAACCTCAGGTGATCCACCTGCCTCAGCCTCCCAAAGTCCTGGGATTACAGGCATGAGCCACTGTGCCCAGCCAAGAGATGTTATTTTTAAATATCAGGGTTGGCTGGGTGCGGTGGCTCATGCCTGTAATTCCATCACTTTGGGAAGCTGAGGCGGGTGGATCATCTGAGGTCAGGAGTTCGAGACCAGCCTGGCCAACATGGCAAAACCCCGTCTCTACTAAAAAAATAAAAAAATTAGCCAGGCGTGGTGATGTACGTCTATAATACCAGCTACTTGGGAAGCTGAAGCAGAGAGAATTGCTTGAACCTGGGAGCCAGAGTTTGCAGTGAGCTGAGATTACACCACTGTACTCCAGCCCAGGCGACACAGTGAGACTCCATCTGAAAAAAAAAAAAAAAAAAAAAAAAAAAATCAGTGTTTTCTTTGCTTTATTAAGTGTGAATGAATCAAAACAAAAGCCCTTGCCATCTTTCCTTTCTTCCCCCACTTTTCCCTACTAGGGGAATGAGTAATAAAGAAGGCAGAGAGGCAAATTTGCTTCCTTCCAATGTGTTGATGGTGTTGCTGTGAAATCTTCAATGTTGTGATTTCAAGGAGACAGCTAATAGCTTTCAGAAAGCCTCTGCTTTGGGAACAGATTTCTTTTTTGCTGTTGAGTGGCATCAGGTTTTCCTAATGACATAATGCCTGGGTATAGCCAAACTCAGGAAAGCCTTGTAATAAAAGCCATTTTTAGCAAACTTTCCTGCTGCCACTGCCCTCTAAGTTATCATTACAGCATCAGCTGCCACCTCCTATGAATTGGCCAACAAATTAGCATAGCAGGGCAGCAAGCCATTGTCTCACCTGGCTTCCTGTCCATCAGTACACCCGAGATGTGTTTGTTATTAGAAGTCCATCAACTTCTTAGGCAAATCTAGCTCAAGGGCAAGGCTATCTGGAGCTTGGTAGGTAGAGATAGATCTTCTCTGACCAGCCATGGGCATGGAAAAAATATAAAAGATTAGCGCTTGTTCTCTCGAGAAGTCAAGGCATTTGGATGGAAACTAGGCTCTATTATGAAGAGACAGCCTAGTTTGCAGAAAAATGGGAGCCTCGAGAGAAGTGTTGTTTGGGTGTCACCGGCACTGATGCCTGGAAGCGGCTAGTCACATCAGGACATCAGTCCCCATGGAGACCTTCTGAACGCTGATGCCCTAAGTCACTAAGCAGCTTTCAGGCTTGTCGTTTGCTTTGCTAAGAATAAATAGGGACTGAGAGTTCTCAGCCATCTCAAGGTGTCACACAAAACCACATCTTGGTACCTCGTGGATTGGGAGTAACAATCATCCTGGGCTCTGTTCTCAGCTCAGCTCTGGCCTCCTGCTCAGCCTAGGACAGGCACAACCTCAACGCTGGAAACCCCCAGGCTAGGCAGCAGTAGTTGTCAAGCATGCTGTTATGGCTGTGAAGGGATTCTGGGTCCTTTGTTACTCATAATTGTGTTTCACTTTGAAAAACAAAATTCAAGCCTGGGCAACATAGCGAGACCTCATCTCTGCTGAAATTCAAAATAAAGTAACTAGTGCCCAGGCGCGGTGGCTCATGCCTATAATCCCAGTACTTTGGGAGACCAAGGTGGACAGATCACCTGAGGTCGGGAGCTCGAAACCAGCCTGACCAACATGGTGAAACCCCATCTCTACTAAAAATACAAAATTAGCTGGGCGTGGTGGTGCATACCTGTAATCCCAGCTACTCAGGAGGCTAAGGCAGGGGAATCACTTGAACCTGGGAGGCAGAGGTTGCAGTGAGCCGAGACTGTGCCACTACACTCCAGCCTGGCGACACATCGAGACTCCATCCGAAAAAAACAAAACAAAAAAAATGAAAGAGATGGAGGGAGGGAATTCGAGTGGACTCAGGGTTAACCCTACCATAAACCACTCACCACTTACTCCCTTGCATCCCACTGTGTTTCTTATTTTTTGAGACAGGGTCTCACTCTGTTGCCCAGGCTGGAGTACAGTGGTGCAATAGCTCACTGCAGCCTCCACCTCCTGGGTTCAAGCAATCCTCCTGCCTCAGCTTCCTGAGTAGATGGGACCACAGGCATGAATCACCATGCCCAGCTAATCCACTGTGTTTTCTTTGAGTGGGAAAGAGGAGTGGCCTCACAGTTAGTGTGCCTGGAATTGGCATGCCTGTAAGAGGAGGCTGCGTGTGAGTGCTTTGTGTTACATGTGCTGTGATGGGGAAGAGGGTGCTATCAATATACACATAGGATTGCTTAGCTGCCTGCCACCAAACAACTGTGTCAAAAGCCCCCAGAGTCTCCACACAAGCTGTGGTGTATGAAGCTGCATCCTCAGAGACTGCGGCTTGAGTTGTAGGAGGAATGGGTGCTGGGCTTTCAATTTTGGATTTGACTTCAGCCCCACAGTCTCAGCCACCCCAGCCAATTGTCATAGGAGCTGAAGTGGAAGAAGTCTCTTGCCTGAGTGGAGAAGACTGTACAATGTCCTGTTTCTCACCATGGGGGATTTTTGTGGCAGGAATTGAGAATAATGAGGTCCCAGCCACTACCTTGGATTATGGGTGGCTCCAGAAAACCTTATTTTTTTATTATTATCATTTTTAAGATGGAATCTTGCTCTGTCGCCAGGCTGGAATGCAGTGGCATGCTCTTGGCTTACTGCAACCTCCACCTCCTGGGTTCAAGCGATTCTCTTGCTTCAGCCTCTAGAGTAGCCGGGACTACAGGCACGCGCCACCACACCCGGCTAATTTTTGTAGTTTTAGTAGAGATGGGGTCTCACCATATTGGCCAGGATGGTCTCGATCTCTTGACCTCGTGATCCACCTGCCTCAGCCTCCCAAAGTGCTAGGATGACAGGCGTGAGCCACCGAGCTTGGCCTTTGAAAACCTTATTTTAGATTGAGGGCGCAAGAGAAGGGAGAGAGGTCTTGTCACATGCTATTTTCAACCCATGCTCTGATCTCTCTCAAGGTTGTAGACTTTAATGCTAAAAATTGCTATGTTGTTTTCAATTTAATGATGTGCTTTGAATGGCTCGAACCATGGCCAGGACAAGCAAAAAGGCCCAGTTACTTATTTGACTCAGCTCCATTAGTTGGCCATTTGTGAGGTCTGGAGTTTGGTTCCCAGAAAGGCAATTGACATTTGGGCCCAGTGAGAGCACATGACTGACCAGTAGGGTCACAGGGAGACCCACAGGCACAAGTTCATCCCTTCCTGTGAGACAGCAGTGGTATTTCCATTGTTTGCATGTACTTTTCAAGGAATCACCAGTGGTTGACTTGAGAGCAAATCAGCCAATGGTCTTGTTCAGCCACCAGCAGGAGCCTGAAATGGGGACTAGCTTAACTGGGAAACACTGTCCACCCTGGGAGGAAACGAAGCCCAATCAGAATATGATCATTAGATGAGGAATAAAGAGTTCTGATGGTGTCTATTTCACTGGGCCGAGGAAGACAATCATCTAGCCTCCCAAGTATAATGAATGTGGTGAAATAAGAATAAAAGAACTCACGCCAATTGGATTATTAAGTACTTTACAATGTACCAAGAAGAATTTAAGTTAGACACAAGTTGGTAAATGTAGTGCTATGGTTTGATTGTATCCCTTCCAAAATTCAGGTGTGGCCAGTGTGATAATATTAAGAGGCTGGGCCTTTAAGAAGTGATTGGGCATGAGGGCTCCTCCCTTGTTAATGGGATGAAGACCCTTTTTAAAGAGACATCATGCAGTTTTAGGCTAGCTTGTCTTGCTGCTGTGTGAAGATGTAGCAAGAAGGTCCTCACCAGACCAGATGGTGGTGCCTTGACCTTGGACTTCCCAGCCTCCAGAACTATGAAGATTACATTTCTTTTCTTTTCAGCCTCGACCTCCCAAAGTGCTGGGATTACAGGTGTGAGCCACCATGCCCGGCCTAAGGATTAAATTTCTATTGTTGATAAATTACCCAGTCTCAGGTAGTTTGTTGTAGCAAGACAAAATGCACTAAGACAGGGAGTGAATCCAGGAATGGACTCCCAAGGGAGGCTTGAGACTATCTGTTGTTGGAGTTTTCTAAGACTGGGAAATCTGACATCTGAGGGAACCTCATGGGAGATCTGAGTGAGAGAGTTACACGGACTCCCCACTCCTCTAAGATGCCTGTGTGTGCTCAGCAGCAACACTCCCCTGCATCTATGAGAGTCTCCTCCCTGGGTCCACTCATAGAAGATGCCACCCCTGTCTGTCACTTTCCTGCAGGGACCTGGGAAAAACAGCAGAAAGCCCGGCCTCAGATTTGGATCCATTGGTGGGACCTAGGAGTATGGTCAGTGGTGCTGCAGGGGGAGAGTGGGTGTCTGCTGTCTGCTCTGCTCAACTCCATTCTGCTTGTCATAACCATCTGTTTCTCAAAAGCAGTGGAATAGAGGGCCAGAGCCTGGTCCTCATGATTTCCTGCGTGTCATGGCTTGCTTCCTTCCAGCAGATGCCATGTAGCCAGGAGGCAGAGTGTGGGCCACCCTAGGTGGCTGGAAGAGGTTGGCAGCCAAAGCTCGGTGGCCTCGGTGCTGCTGCTTCAGAAGATCTGGGCATGGGAGTTAGGGACCTAGGCAACTCGTTTAACCTCTCTGTATCCCAGTTCCCCCAACTCACAAATGGGTCTTATAATCATTGCCATAGAAGGATGTTGTGAAAATCAAACGAAAGGAGAGCACTGGGAAATGCCTACCTTGCACATACTTCCCAAAACAGACAGGCCAGCTGCAAAGGAGTGTGCCATGGGAGGGCTGGGGCTGTGTTTTTGAGCTAGAAGAATCAAATGACAGCAGTTTGAGGAAAAGCGGGAAGCAAGTCACCCCATCATTCTGACAGTGACTCTTGATGATAAAAATGGAACAGGCCGGAGGGAATACTGACATTTTTGTATGCCTTTGTTTTCTTCTTGGGTTTTTTTTCTCGAACTCAGAGAAGCACCTCCCACTTCACGTGCCTTCCTCCTCCATCACTGACAACTGAGAGCCCAGGAGGAGAGGGAGTGCTACAGTGTGGTTTTTCGTTATCACCTCCTCCCTCAGTCTAGCTCTCTGCATTCACCGCTCCTTGGCTCTTCTGTGTCATGCGGCTGAAGCTGTAGGGTCTCTGCAGGGGAAATGTTTTCCCAGGAAGTGTTTAGGGGTGGATTTGAGGCTCCCGACATGTCTTAGTCCCTGAGTGGGAATGAATTGTGCCCAGATCAACCCTCCTGGCAAAGACTGGAGATGCTCAGGCCTTTGGGCAGCATATTCAGTAATTCAGTGCCCCCCAAATGCCTGTCTGTCACTTTCCCAGTTACCCTTCTGATCATTCCCCTCCCAGGACTGATGAAACATTTCCCATCTCCTCCCCACATCCAGCTTCCATTTCCATAACCTCCTCTTTCTTACTTTCCTATGTCCAGATTTAAGGGACAGTCAGTGGAGTGCAGAGGGGTTGGAGAGTGGCTGAGACAATCATCTGATAGCAGCTGAGAGGGGAGAGGGTGAAAGAAGAGCAGTTTCAGCTGGTGGCCATGCAATCTGAGGGATTGGTGGAGTCCTGGAGCTGAGCTCCTGATGAAATCTGGTGTTCTTCTGCTCTGAAGGACATTTTTGGGGTCCAGAGCTAGAGGAGAATGGAGAGGAAGGACTGGCTGTGAGATCAGCATGCGGATGAAACAAACAAGCAACAGACTTGCTGTGGGTTTCCCTGAATTGCTTTGCCTCTGATAATCTGGTCTTGCACAACCAGTTCCCCCCAGGGTTTAGGGTATGCACCTCATCTACTGCTTGAACCTCTTAAATGGAAGTAGCAAACCAGCAAGGGGTAGGCTTTGAAGTCAGAGACACTGGGATGCCATACCTCATTCTGTTCCTTACTATTGTGTGCCTGCTGGCAAGTCCCGTAGCCCTTCCACACCTGTTTCCCCATCTAAAGAGCAGAATAATAAGGCAACTTACCATACAGTGTTGTTGTAGAGATTCAGTGAGACAATGCCATATTAAAGCTGCTGGTACCCAGTGCATAGGGCTTAATTAATCATAGCTGATGCTAATGCTATAAGTATGATTGCCACTACCTACTCTGAAACGACTTATTTGACTTCCCACGAAGTTAATTTCTTTCCTCTGTGTTACTCCAGCCCTCGAGCCTCTGTTTACAACCCTGATTTGTTGTTGTTGTTGTTGTTGTTTTGAGACAGGGTCTTGCTCTGTCGCCCAGGCTGGTGTGCAGTGGTGCAATCTCGGCTCACTGCCTCCTCCACTTCTGCTACAACCCTGATCTTGCTGTATGATCATTGTTGGCATGGCTTTCTCCCTCAACACACTGGGGACTCTCCGGAGCCAGGCTCTGTGCTTTTTTGCCATTGTATCATTCTTCATGCCTAGCATATATTGTAGGAGCTCAGTACATATTTGTAGAATGGATGAGTGGGCAAATGGCTCAAAATATCTGAGATTATGGCCTATTTCTGCAAGCAGGCTATGAAGCTTTCTCCATAGGCTTTTTACCTGTTGATGTAAAGCCCTTTTAGTCAAAGCCCTGCCTGGGCTCACCTGGTCGGTAAATATTGATTTTGTGGTTCCATTTGGCTGTGGTGACTCAGCATTGACAAGCTGGCCAGCTCCTTGTGGATTGGGGCTCTGTGAGCGTTTACCAGACCCCACACTACCAAGTTGGGGCAGCTTTCTCTTCTCTGACCCATAAAGCCAGGCCCGCCTCCTCATTTCCCTGTGAGCACCAAGCTCAAAACCTATTTGTCCTTTGCCTTTCTTTCCTCTTTCCCTAGCCCTACCGCTGCCATTCAGAAAGTATTTATTAAGCACCTACTATGTACAGGGCACCAGACCATATACTTGAGCCATTGATCACATACTTTTTTTTTTTTTTTTTT